CATATTTAATGAAAAAATTATTGAAACTAATTTCATACTGTAGATCTTGATACATTTTTTCTACTAACTGATCAAAGTTAGAGAAGCTTGAGTTAGGACAAAGTTAGAGTGAACTATATTATGGAACGGTGGGAGTAACAAGGACCATGTTTTAGAAATACATACACAAGGTCAAGTTATACATCACGTGCCCAACCATGTTTGGGTATTAGTTAACAGTTGCAGAAGCAGGATGCCATGTTTTCCAATTGGTCAATTTTCATTGGCATTCATAGAAAGGAGAAAGTCATGTCTTATCCACAATATCGTTGTTGTACTATCAAGTATATTTGTTTACTGGTAAGAAAACTGAATAACCTTACAAGTACCTCTACCCTTGTAAGAATTAGTTGCTTGGCATGTTTCTCTCACTATGTTTACAACATTTTCTATTGTTCAATGGGGTCTATTGCTTTTCAGTTGGAGAACCTACAAATGCGCTTATGATTATTCTCAATGTATGTCATTTGATGTGTTGTCCTGATGTTAGTTAAATGGTTGCCACCTATTTACCTCTAAAATCCTTCAGGTTTAAACAAGGATTTCAGGAAGATGATAACCGAGCATGCTGATCTCAAGGCATTAACTGTGAAGGACATTCATACTGCATCGGATGGTACCCGTAAGGTAGTTTTCAGTGTTGCTGTTATGTTGTGAAGTGATTTACTGGATATGATTGATTTTTGAACACAGGATGTTACAGATACTGTTCTCTCTTGAAGATGGTTCAGTGATTGAAACAGTTATCATTCCTTGCGCTAGGGGCAGGACAACTGTCTGTGTTTCAAGTCAAGTTGGTTGTGCGATGAACTGTCAGTTTTGCTTCACTGGAAGGTTTGTTTACTTGTGTTACAAGGCATTTTCTTCTCTTGGCCAGTACTGAACTACTGATTCTATGCTTGCTTGGCCTTTTTATATATAGGATGGGTTTGAGAAAACATCTCTCGACAGCTGAAATTGTTGAGCAGGCTGTGTTTGCTCGTAGACTATTCTCAGATGAATTTGGATCAATTAATAATGTTGTATTTATGGTAAGCATTTGCTTTAAGTAACTTAGGCTTTGACTGTGTTACGATGGTTAACTGGCCATGTTTAACTAACAGCATATGATTTGTATTTTACATTTTTTTAATCCTGATTCCGTTCCCATCTATGCTGTTCTTCCTAAAGTGATATTCAACAAATATGTATAACTGTCTAGTGACTACAGTCTATCTTAAAATTTCACTTTCAAGTCAATTCATATTGCCGTGGATTCAAATAGCACATTTTTTCTAACAGTACATTGAATCTGTGATACTGTCCTTGCATCTGCTTTGATGCCATATTCAGTTATTTGGTGCCATTTTAGAATGCGTTGACCTATATAGGTTACATCTCTTATCAGTTGCCCTTGTCCTTATCAGCAGTATTTCTGAATTATGTTTCTTGTTCAGTTGTTAGGCTTCCTGATGTTGGTTTTGGAGTACTGTGTTAACAAAAATGAAAGTCTAGTTATAGCAACAACATGTATACGTCGTTTAGGCATCTTTTTATGCTGCAGTTAGCTCTTAATAGCATCTATCGTGTAGCATAGAAGATTTAAAAAGTTATGTTGTTTTTGTTGATTAGATGGTACACTCTTTCATTAATGTGTAATTTGTCCAGGGCATGGGGGAACCATTTCACAATATTGACAATGTAATAAAAGCCTCAGCAATAATGGTTGATGAGCAAGGCCTTCATTTTAGCCCTCGCAAGGTTACTGTCTCCACAAGTGGTCTTGTCCCTCAGTTAAAACGTTTCCTCCAGGAATCCAATTGCTCGCTGGCCGTCAGTCTTAATGCAACGACAGATGAGGTAGTGGTTATCCTGTTCCTGTGATTTTTTTTTTTGCATTATTTCACTGTTTTCTAAACTAACTTGTTTTACAGGTTAGAAACTGGATAATGCCCATAAACAGAAAGTACAATCTTAACTTGCTTCTTGGCACTTTAAGAGAGGAACTTAACCTCAGAAAAAAACAAATAGTGCTATTTGAGTATGTCATGCTTTCTGGAGTGAACGACAGGTCAGATACCTGCTTTGTGTCTTTGCTGACTGTTTTTGTATATTATAAATATCTTAGCATAGGATGCATATAAATCTCCTTGCAAAAGATAACTTTCTCCCCTATATATTCAATTATTCATAAGGCTTTTCTTTTCCCATTTGGTCCAGGCATACATGTAGGCCTACTAGCGACAGTCTATAGTTGATGATGTTATTGTAATGATTAGCCCAGTAGCCAAATTGGAACATTGAATCTTCTTTCCCTTTCTAATCCGTAGGCAAACTGAATCCTGAATCCTTTTTCAGTATTAACCTTTTCCGAAGCTATCACAGTTAACTGGTACCTGCTTTCACTCTAAACCGTGTATTTTTTGTTTGATTTACTGTGCTTGCAGTATGGATGATGCCAAAAGGCTTATAGAGCTAGTCCAAGGGATCCCATGCAAGATAAACCTTATCTCTTTCAATCCCCATGGCGGTTCCCAAATCAAGCCCACACCGGACGATAAGATAATTGAGTTCCGCAACGTTTTAATTCAAGGTGGCCTCACTGTTTTTGTTCGGCTCAGCAGAGGGGATGATCAGATGGCTGCCTGCGGGCAGCTAGGAGAGCCTGGAGACTACCAGCTGCCTCTGCTCCGTGTACCCGAGAAATTTCAGGTCGCCTTGTGATGCTAAACAGTGCATACAGTAAACTGGCCCTGAGCAGGTTGACGAACACACGGAGTAATTGGCTTGGAACGACGGTTCGATCGTGCAAATCTTAGTAAGTTCTACCGCCTCCTGAAGATTGCCTGGAATTCTGCAATATCGTGCAAATCTGAACCTGGGTAATTATTTGACAACACATTTTGACATGGAATTGCTTCTGCTAATGCGTGGTGCACCCAAACTAAATTCTATAAGAATATAAATTGGGCATTTTCTGGCAAATCGTTGCTGTATAAGACATTAACAGAATAACATGCTTTCACTTGGCACTTCGACATCGTGCCAAACTTTAGCGTCGTCCAGACCGAAGTGGGCTAAAAGCGCTGCACCGTGCAACCGCGTGACAGTCGGCGTTTTCGCATGGTGCATCGCTGCGGTCTGAGTCGCCAAAGCCGAATTCTGTTGTTACTGGGTGATTCGAAAAGTTTGGAATGAACCTATCGGTGATCAGGAATGAGAGAAGAATCTGAAGGACTACAAGGCTGGCTTGCCTGAGCGAGATACCTTAACCATTAAGGTGTGCATGGCACCTAGCCACCTACACACCAGCCTGTTTCGTTTGGTCGTATTTGGTTTATAAGCTATGGCTTATCAGCTAACGAACAGTATTTTTCTCTCACATCAAACTAGCCAACCGTACTTTCAGCCATGGCTTATAAGCCAAATCAGCCTAAAACGAACAGGGCGGATCAAAGTTTCTCTTATCTTTTCCAAATGGTGGAAAGAAAAAGCGAAAAAATCTATCCCAAGACCCCACCGGATCAAAGTTTCTCTTATCTTTTCCAAAAGCAAGTCCATCATGCTGCACATTATGGGCGTCTTTAGCACTAATCTGCCGCAGAACACGTAGACACGCTACACGTTTGCGCCTTGCCCACAGCAGCACTGCCTGATTGCATGAGATGATGGCCATACTGCAGCCTGTGGGTGGTCGATGCTTTCGGTCTTTATCGTGTGTGTGTAATCCTGTTTGGTGAGGGATATGTCTTGGTCAAGTCTGGAACATAGACGCCGCTGTTACGGCAAGTTTTAGGCCCGTTTGAAGTTTGATGGGCAGTTGTTGAGGTGTAAAATGAGCCCTTTTAAAAAAAAAAAAAGAAATCATAGCAACTTCTCGCGTTCTAAACTGATTGACTGACATCAGTAACAGGAATATGCGCTGCCTGCCAATCGCCACCGCAATGCGTTGCGACGTTCTGTTGTCAGGTACCAGTTTTTTTTGACAACATTGTCAGGTACCAGTTTGAAGCAATTCTTTTCTTGTGCCTAAATTTAATGTAGACCATCCTTTTCTTGTACCTATACGTGCTTCCTATTCCTTCGTATATGCTGTTTTTTTGCAGATAATATGTTCTTCCAGTGGATTCTGTAATAGGAGGGAAAGATTGTTATCGGAATCCAGAACGTAGATGTCAAGCCAGCAAAGGACATCGACAAGCATCATTGTTGATTACGTGGTTGGATTAAGCCCACATGATCATCGAATAATCATCACGCATGGTGTGGTCTGGCGTCTGTATTTCTAGACGCGTCTTCGGACCTCTGCTCCTACTCCTACTCCTACTCTTCTCCACGTTGTGCAAACAAAACAAGCGGATCAAATTAAGAATATGAAAAGTTGACTGCCCCCATTTGTGCCCGTCAAAGCGAAGGAGACGGTTCCCAGTCGCCTACCGGCAACGTGGACGCCAGCAATTATTTTAGGATTGCATCACGAGATGATTTGCATAATGACACGCGGCCAGCGTTTGTGATTGACGTGCATCGCACGCTTACATTTCTGGATCTATGCGTGTCACCTTGCAGGAGCCCAGGATCAGGAAACGGGAACCGCCGGAGCGTCTTCTTCGGCCTGGCGTGGCACTCTCTCCTCGTTTGCGAAGAATCCATGCGAAACGAACGCCGTTTTTACCGCCAAACCAAATCGATGACAGCGGAATCATCGTGAATTCGTAACGAGTTTAGCCCTCTGATGACAAAACTGAACGGCCGCTGTGCTTGGACTGGAGTTGCCACTCTGCTCTGCGTAAGAGGCAGCAAAAGCAAAATCGACGAGGAAACGAAAGGAAAGGAAAGAAGCGCATAAAATAGGGAAAGCTACACGTAACCTCCCATACTACATATAACCCGGCAACCCCTCTCCTCCCCGATCCCTCCCTCCATCCTTCCTTCCGCCAGACCGCCACGCGCGGCAGCGGCAGCGGTTCGTCACACACACCATGGCGTCCACGCCACGGACGCCGGCGCCGGCGCCTGAGAGGGCGCCGCCGCCCGTGCCCACTCCTCCTCCGCCTGTGGAGACGCCCCCGCCGCCGTCGCCCTCATCGTCACAGCCGGGCGACGAGTACCACACGCCGGCGCCGTCTCTGGCCGACGGGTCGCCGCGGGAGGAGGCCAGCTTCCCCAGCGACGGGAACGGGAGGGAAGGAGGAGCGCCGCCGAGGAGCCCGCAGCTCTCGCCCATGCGCCTCGCCGCGCCGCGCCTCCTGCTGCCGCCGCCCAGCCCCCGCACCCCCACCGGGCAAAACGGGCAGGAAGAACAAGAGGGGAGCGCTGAGGCCGCGGCGGCGGGAACGGCGGAGCCGGCACGCGAGCCGCTCCGCCTGGCGACGAAGGGCCTCGCCCGGTCGCCGTCGTCGTCGCAGAGGTCGCTGGCCACCACCAACTCCTCCCCTTCTCCGCCGCCGTCGCCGCTGATTCCCGCCGCGCCCGTGGTCAACAGCAGCATCAGCGGCAACAACAACAGGAGCGGCCAGAGCACGCACAAGCGCGCGGCGGAGACGAAGCTGCCGCTGTCATCGTTGCCGCCCGCGGCCACGGCCGCGATCGCGGTGCAGCACTTCAACCCGGTCGAGGAGGCCGTGACGTCGCCGCTGCACCTCGGCCAGGCGCAGCGGCTCGACCACTACCACCACCAGCAGCAGCAGGAGCAGCACGCGGCGGCGGCCGCGGAGAACGGGGGATCCGTGCCCCGCGACGTGGCGGCCGCGGTCGCGGTCGGCCAGCGGAGGGAGCTGTCGGTGACGCTGCGCCTGGCCACGGCGTTGCTCAGCCTCGCGGCCTTCTCGGTCATCGCCAGCGCCCGCACGACCGGATGGGCCGGCGACTACTACGCCCACCACCTGCAGTTTAGGTCAGTGATCGCCACTTGCTCACGCGTTTCGTCTCGGTTCCTGACGGCTACGGCAGTTGTTACAAGAACAGTTTAAAACAAATATTTTTTGAAACGAAATTTCAAAATAAATAACGAAAAATCCATCTGTTCGGCGAATGTATGGAAGGTACGCCGTTGCGGTGAACGTGATCGTCTGCGCCTACTCGATCGCGCAATCATTCGGCGAAATCCGCCGCCTGATCTCACCAAGGTCTATATTCCGGAGCATGTCAAGCTACTACTGCAGCCTTTTCCTGGACCAGGCAAGTACATCGATCGCGTATATATTCCTCAACTGAAACTGCTCGTGTCATGTGCAAAGAGCTGAACCGTTGGTGCTTCGACCGACGACGTGGTGCCGTGCTGTGCAGGCTCTGGCGTATCTCCTCATGTCGGCGTCGTCGGCGGCCGCTTCGCGCACCGACCTGTGGGTGTCCAGGTTCGGCACGGACGCCTTCAACAGGAAGATCACCAGCGCCCTGTGGCTGTCCTTCATTGCGTTCCTGATGCTCGCTCTGAACGCGCTCATCTCCACAGCTAATCTCTTCAGCATGCTCTGAGTCTGACACGCTTGTCCTGACATTGTTGGAATCCAGTACTAGTTGTAAATTTTGGAGTAACTATAGCCGCGAATTAGTCGGAACACACGCTATTTTTGGTAATGGTACATCAGGAACACACTTTTATGATTTTATTATCAACTAGGTAGCATGCTCGTACGTTGCTACGGGATAACTAACAATTTATACTAAAAACACATGTATCGCACGATAAGATAATAATACTGTTAAATTAAATACCAACGTTAAAGTGATATTTAATCCAAAAAGCAAAATTTATAAATTTAACACAGTCACGGAGTGCGCGGCGTCGCAGGCTCACAAACTCTAGAGTTTCCAGAGATTGGGTCGAATCCAACCTAGAGCCTCGAAACCCTGCATCTTTTCCTGGACGGGCTTCACTTCGGATGCGCCGGTAGCAATATCAACAATCTCCAATCGATGGACTAAGTCGTATGGATCCCCATACAATGGCTCAGACATGTAGATTTTGTTCTCCTTTACTTGGATACACTTGTTCCACTAAAGCTTTCATTGAAATGTTTAGACACGAACAGTGTCTGATCACCGATGTCCCTCACCCTGGACCACTCCGGCGTACGGTCATGGAGGTTGCACTTGTAGATCGTGCTGTTGTAGGTGAAGCTCTGTATCTCGTGGAACGTGCTCACCATGGCACCAACAATGTGCAGCTCACCGTTTGATTCCAGGTAGCTGCGGTGGCAGAGCCCCACAGGTGGCGACAGCGATGGCAGCAGCGTCGCGGTTGGAGTAGCACCGGCGGCGTTGCTGCTGCAGACGGAGATTTCTCCAGTGCAGTCAATCGCCAAGAACTCGTGTTGGCAGTGGACGATAGACCCCACGAAGAATTCCAATTTGGTGTCGAGCAGCGTCCATGCACTGTCGACTCCAACCCGACAGAAAACGCGACCTCCGTAGAGCACCCAAGCATGGCTATGGCCACACACTCGCGGTTGGCGGCGTCAAGCGGCGCCGAGAGCACGATCTCACGGAAGAATGCGTCCCTCATGTCTTCTAGCTTGATGGCTCTGCCTGCAGCATCCGCGTCCCCATAGCCGTTTGTGGGATGGAGGACCCACCGGCCGTGGACCCTAGACACGCGTTCCGATGAGACCGCCGCCGCGATGTGTTCACCTGCTTGCGGGAGCTCAACGCGGGGGGCACGGGCACCGGCGAATGGATTCAACAACGTCATGGACGCCGCCTCATCCATGAGCGCCAGCCACCCACACGAGGAGCCGCACGCCACCTTGCCGCGCACGTCGGGCAGCGTCTTGGACAAGACCTTCTTCTCCGGGACGCAGTAGAAGCCGACGCGGTCCGAGTCGGGGTCGAACGGGAGCAGCAGGAGCGGCCCGAAGGTCGCGAACGGGACGGCGGCACGCCATGGGGAGCAAGCGGATCGGAAGGACGCCGCGTCGTGGCCTGACGCGAGACGCTGCCCAATGGACTCGATGAGATCCTCTGGCAGGCGGATCTCCAGTCAAGAAGAGGTATGGACCTTCTCTTGAGATTGGAAGGCTGAGTCATGGAAGACAGATGACATCAACTATGGTTCACGCAAGAAACAGCAAGCGAGGACGATGGAACACGTGAGCGTGAAAAAATGAAAGCAAAAAGCTGTCCCTTTTGCAAATGCAAAGAGGAGAAGTAATTAAATGTAGGCAGATTTGGCAAAGTTCTCAGAAATACAATGATGTTCCTTTTGTCTTAATTCTCTTTCCTTCTGTGTTAATTCTCTTTCCTTTTGCTCATTATTATGTATGCTGGTGCATGCAAACATGCAATGTGTATATGATAGCACAATAATTTTCTACTTTCTATTTTGTCGTGATTCCTCTATCACATGACAAGCAATATTCAATCGAGAAGAATAGCACGATCAATCACGCTTTGTTCTTTTTAGTTGTAGGAGATTGCTTAGCTATTCACCGGGGTTTTACTAACCCTGCTAGGTCGCCGACGGCCGACCTGGGACTTTCATCCAGTTTTCGACGTACTGTAGAAAACTCAACGGCGCTCGATCCGCTACCTATATCTCCCTGATTTGGACCATGCGGGCCACGCGCGTTGACGTGCCAAATTTTGTTTTTGTTTTCCTTCAGTACGGATCGAATGTTGAGTAGCACGAGTATTGGCTTGCGTCACGAGGTCTCAACTCAACTGCTGGTACAAAAAAAAATCCCTCGGCGGATGGCTAGAGCCCGATAGGAATAGCAGCAAACTAAGTACCCCGGACGTTGCCGCGGGACAGTTAATTGTTCCAGGGTTTGGGAAAAAAGGATATATATATATATATATATATATATATATATATATATATATATAGAGAGAGAGAGAGAGAGAGAGAGAGAATCATGCAACCTATTAGTGAGTACTGTCAGTATAGGCGACTGATCATATATACTCAAATTTAACAGAATTTTACATGGTCAGCACTCACCAGAACTTCGATGTTTAGTAACAAAAAAGGAGAAGAGACCTTTTCAGCATTGCTAAACATGGACGCTTAATGGTTTCTCATATGGTGAATTAAAAACAGATGAGCGTTTGCACAGGGGTATAGAGTAAAGTACATGTGACGTGTTATATGCAGACACACATGCTAAGCATCTAGACGTACATGTTGGACTGCCTATAAGCATTTTGCTAGAATATGCGTGATCACTGGAGGAAGAGATGATCAAGTGGCTTGGAACGGAAACATAAGTAGATCATTGTAGCCGTAAATCTAGTGTTTGTTAAATATGACACGTATCTTGTTGTCTTCCAAAAGATGTAGCTGCTCTATGGTTCCTATGTGTTTCAGCAGCAGCAGCTAACTGTGGCCGTGGCAAATCTACTGCAAAAAAAAAAAAAGAATGCAAATGGGTGTTTGTCAGTCTGAAAATAGGCACAATTTAGTTGAGCATGAAGCAATACAGATCACGGTGGTCGGCTTTGGTGGCGCTGACGAGCTGGAAGGCGAGACCGGTGTCCTGGCCGAGGATATGGTGGATGCTGTCGAGGAGCGACGTCCGAAGTGGCCCAAGCTGAGCGCGTCCTTCGTCACCAGCACCACGGTGCCCCCGATCCGGCCCTACAGCACCGTGGATGCCGCGCCGCCTCACGGTGGTCGAAGGCGTGCAACACGGCCAAAAGGGGAGTCACGGAGGGGAGGGGAGCGATGCCGCGATCGCAAGGGGAGCGACGAGCAGGGAGGAGACCGAGGCAGATGGAACACGTGAGCGTGAAACCAAATGAAAGAAGGAAAAAGCTGTCCCTTTTGCAAATGCAAAGAGGGGAAGTAATTAAATGTAGGCAGATTTGGCAAGGTTCTCAGAAATGCAAAGAAGTTCCTTTTGTCTTAATTCTCTTTCCTTCTGTGTTAATTCTCTTTCCTTTTGCTCGTTGCCATGTATGCTGGTACATACAAACATGCAATGTGTATATGGATAGCACAATAATTTTTTACTTCCTATTTTGCCGTGATTCCTCTATCACATGACATGCAATATTCAATCAAGGAGATGTCGTGGGATCGCAGGCGTGGGCAGACGGACGAACCAAAACAAATGTCGCATAAAAAAATATCCATACTTTGTTCTTTTTAGTTGTATGTAGGAGAAGGGCTAATAAAATGTTTTTCTTTTGTTAATATATAGGAGTACTAAGCATCTCAAATGTCTATTTTTTTCTTGACCAGTCATCAGGATGTAAGACGGATTGTTTGTGAACCCGTAAAGGGGCCATAAACTTGATAGTCTTGGCCAATTCCAAAGATCATTTGGTCAAGTAACGATGACGAATACCAAACATCAAGGTTACATAAATCCCTTAGTACCATCACGATGTAATTAACTCCAATGTCTGATTCTCTGATTCTACTAATCATAGGGGACTACACCCAACGGGTGCACTCGTGCGCCCCGCTAGATACCGACCAAAGCCCATGGGGCTTGGGCCTTTGTCGCTCGGAAGCTCCGGCCGAGAAAGCTAGTTTAGGAACGGGGCTATAGCATGGGCCTGTTAAAATCCCCGTAGTCTTGGGGACTTGTCCGACCAAAGAGGCCTGACAAAAAGTCCAAGGAAACACCTTGGACCTCATTTCTGCCACGTGGCAGAGGTCTGACACCTGAGTAGAGGTGCAAGGTCGTCAAATCTGTCAAGACATCGTTAACTCATCCCAACGTGGGGTTGCTGCCTATCTCGATGAGGAGTCATGCCCGAGACGTGACGGGACACGACAAGGGGCGCGTTGGACCCACGTGTCAACGTCCTCCGTGCTTCGTCTCCCTTGTCGAGCGAGGGGATGCTAGCATGTGGGTGAACCACGGAAGGGTGGGACAACGTGATCCTAGCCTGGCAAAAGCCTACCTCTGCCATCTGCAAAAGTGGCCACTCGTGGTTTCTCTACATTGTTAGCCACGACCACGCAGGAAGCAGCGACGCCCCCAATGGCTCGAATATTAGGACGACAAAAACCCTGGCACTTCCTTGTTGATCACAGAAACTACGAAACCTAATCCGTGTACTCCCCTTTCTCTTCGGAGATAACCATTGATCAATCGAACCATTCGCTCTCCTACCCCCAAGTGTAAACTCTCTTGAGCATTCTAACACAAAACAACTCTTTTCTGGACGTAGGGCTCGACGTCCGAACCAAAATAAACCCTCTCGTGTGTTGAGTGTTAACCACCATCCACCAAAGTCCCACACACTGACCACTAATCTAGCTGTGGTTGCAAACCCACCACAAACGAAAACTCAATCAAACTCATAATTGTCTCGATGGAATTTTTTCTTCTTTTTTTGTTAGAATATTTAGTTAAGATCATTCCAAGGCTCGCTTTCGTCATGGATAAATTAAACCAACAACTAGGATAAGCATAAAAATGAATGCTTCGATAAAAATGGATACACCCATTACGTCAAAACCCATTGCCCAAGGCTAGAGAAAGATTGTTTCCACATAAAAAATAATAATTTAGTGCATACAT